CCCCCCCCCCCACCCCCATTGGACAAAAGGCGGAGGCGTGGCCAGCCCTGATTGGCTGCTTTCATTTATTGAGCGGTGCTTCCGGTGGGCGTGGCCGAGGCAGGACCCGCCCCTTCGGTGGGCGGGGCCGCAGCGGGGGGCGGGGCTGTCTGGTAGAGGACCAATGGCTGCGAAGGAGGGGCGGGGTCACCGAGGTCACCCAAGAAACCCACGTGGCCCCAAATAGCCACGCCCCCAACCCTTCGCCACGCCCACTTCACCAAAGCCCCGCCCCCCCTTCTGCCGTTCCATCCAATAGAAACGCTCCTTTACCATAGCCCCGCCCACGGCCCAATGGCAACGCAGCTCACGTGGCCCCTCCCTCTTTACCCTGCCCTCATTGGCAAATCCCACTCTTCATTTACATAACCACGCCCACATGCGCATAGCCCCGCCCCTTCTTCCCTATCGCGACCCCTGGACCAATGGCAACGCTCCTCTCACATAGCCCCGCCCCCAATGCAACAGCCCGGCCCCCATTGGCAGAGCAGCGCCCTCCATTTAAATAGCCACGCCCCTTTTACCTTAGCCCCGCCCGTAGACCGATAGGAACGAACCCCTAACTATGCCCCGCCCCCAGTGGCCCCACACTCCATCCAATAGCAACCCTCCTCTCCCAAAACCCCGCCCCCAATCTCGTAGCCCCGCCTTCATTGGCTGAGCCCCGCCCAATTTGCATAGCCCCGCCTCCTGACCGATAGCAACGCGCCTCACGCTTAGCCCCGCCCCTGTAGGCTGAGCCACGCCCCTTCCACGATAGCCCCGCCCCTAGACCAATAGGAATGCGCCTCTCACATTGCCCTGCCCCCAGACCAATAGCAACGCTCCTCCCAGAAAGCCCCACCCACAATCCAACAACCCCGCCCCCTCCCGGCCCGCTCTATTTGCATAGCCCCACCCCCGGTCCAATAGCATCGCGTCTTTCGCTGAGCCCCGCCCTCTCAGCCCCGCCCCCCGTCCTTTTGGCCACGCCCCCACTCACCGCTTGGCCCCGCCCTACCAGAGCTCTTCCGGCCGCCACTGCCCCGCCCACAGCCAGCCCCACTTCCGTGGCGGTGGCCAATGAGAGGAGAGCCTGAGCGCCGAGCACCGCCCCCTGCGTGACGTCAGCGTCAGGCCACGCCCCCGCAGGGCTTCCGTAGTGACCCACAGAGACCCCATAGAGACCCATAGGGACCAATAGAGACCCATAGGAACCAATAGGGAGCCATAGAGACCCATAGGGACCCATAGAGACCCATAGAGCCCCATAGAGACCCATAGGGACCCATAGGGACCCATAGGGACCCATAGGAACCCACAGAGACCCATAGGGACCCAGAGGGATCCATAGGGACCCACAGAGACCCACAGAGACCCATAGAGACCCCATAGGGACCCATAGAGACCAATAGAGACCAATAGAGACCCACAGAGACCCATAGGGACCCAGAGGGACCCATAGAGACCCATAGGGACCCATAGAGACCCCATAGAGCCCCATAGAGACCCATAGGGACCCATAGGGACCCATAGAGACCCATAGGGAGCCATAGGGACCCATAGAGACACATAGAGACCCATAGGGACCCACGGAGACCCATAGGGAGCCACAGAGACCCCATAGACACCCATAGGGACCCATAGAGCCCCATAGAGCCCCATAGGGACCCATA